TCAATTATACATGTTTAACTTAATATTTTTTTAAACACATTTATCAGACTTTGAAATGATTACTGCTCTTAATAAACAGCAGATGCATGAGATTAATCACTGGGTTTTTTGGTTTGTTTTAAAATAGCACCTAAATCTGCATAAATTGAATTGAAAATGTATTTCTTAAGATTTGTACACTAACATGTCTTTAGCGAGTATCGCTAAAAGATGCTGTCAACGTATTGGAAAGTAGTTTTTTTCCAGATAATATTTATATCAATTTCTTTTTGCCTTTAGTATACAATGGAAATATAATGACCAATGATTTTATTTTGGATCTAGGCATTAAAAGGTTTGAAAACACCTGGTTTAGCTCTCAGTCATGCAGAATGATGGCACTGTAAAACTACACAAAAAAACATAACAATCAAGATTATTTAGACAAAATTCAAACTGATCTTTGTATGAAAGCAAAATGCAAATGATTACTCCCACTACGCCACCTGCCTGTTTCTCCCGGGACACTTATAAAAGAGAGCTTTAGAAAACCAGTATCATCAGCAGCACTGTGTTTAAGCCACGGGTGCTTTATGTATCACCTGGAAAGCAAACATTTTACCTTGCAAACCACGGAAATGCTCAACAAAAACCAGGTCTGTCGTAGAGTGGGAAATGTGTCGGGAAATCAGAATGATCGGGCTGTTTGATCCAGCTCATTAGTAATGCAGCAGACATTGTGTTTGCTCTTGGTAAAACAGTTTCCATTGAGCAAACTTTACAATCTTAACAACTGCATTGACATCTTGCTGTTTTATTATTCAAATACCCTATGAAATGCAGTAGCTTCTATGGCCTTAGCTTATGTTTTGGTCTATGCTTGTCAATTCTGTATAGGCTATGAACCTGCATCTGGCACTATACAGAATAAAAGGGGGCAGTATTTCACAAAACAGAATTTTGTCGTTGTACTATTGATGGGCAAACACAGGATGGCTGCTTTTTATGTGTAGAGAGTAAAGATTCTGAATGTAGGTTGTGGGTGTGCGATTGGATAATGGCTTATAGTTATTAGAGTAATGGTGCTGAATGCATTGTAGGCCAGAAACGCAGTCTTGAATATGACTGTGGCTCCAGTAATAATTACATTGAGACCTGAGTAAATGTGAGAATTACTGAGTCAGGCAGCAGCATTTTGGATGCACTGATAGGAGTGAAAAGGCAGATTGTCTTATTTGGATGGGGCACTTGTCGCTGCATGATAAATGAAGGTCATTGGGTCATCTTGGACAATTTCCAAGATTTGTACAAATCAGGAGTCAATGACTGTACAACCTTCAAAAGCGATGGAAAGAGACTGAAAGAGAACATGGCTGAAAGAAAAAAGCTTAGTTTCGTCAAGGTTGAGCTGGGGCTGAAAAGACAAAGAGACAGACTGAGATCTGTAAAAGAAAATGAACAGAAACAAAATGAAAATTCAGAACACTGTATAAACTTTTAAACAGATATTGGTCAAGGCAATAAAGGTTAGGCCTGCAGCTATATGAAATGAATGCTAGATATTTTCTCAAAAATGTCTCTGTAATAGAACTATTCATTCCATATAGCTGCAGGCCTAACCATTATATATATTTACACAGTAAAGTATTTGTCAGGCGTGATTGCAATAATCGCACGATGATGAGGAATATAAACAAAAACAGTCTTTAATAAATCCAACAGGAACATGCAGGAGATAACAGGAATAATAACATCATCACACAACCACGTAATACAACAAATACACCAAACAAAGAACTGGGAGCACTGAAGGTTTGAATACACAAGGGAGGATAATCAACAGAACAAGGAACAGGGGCCTGTACCATGATGGTAGTTGAACAAACTCAGGGTTGCAGGATTAGTTTCGAGTTGACAAAACCAAACCAATCCAACCAGGCTTTGTTCAGTTGGTACCATGATGCTGATCATCAACTTTCTCTGTCAACTCAGGCTTTGGTCCTGGGTTTAGGAGTTTAGGTGTGACATCAGTAGCGAACAGCCAATCGCATGCTGAGAAAGAGGGAAACTCATTCAAAACTCATTGAAATTAATTTCTCGCGAGAGAAGCAGCGCAATTCACTTATTAAATAAAAGTATTCAAATATTAAGAATTTAAACAAATTTACACAGCAAGAAGAAAATAGCTGTCTAGAGGACAACTAAAAGAAAAGGTCTTGCTATATTAGTGCAAATAAAAGTTGTGAAGTTAGTTTATACAGTTGATAAAGGTATAGAGAGAATTGAACATTTAAGCTCACATGTAGTCATTTTCATTTATTAAATCTAAAGCGTATTTATATTACCTTTATATACTTATTCATTTAAATCTGCGTAATAATTGATGAACTGAAATTGTACATGTGAGATCGTTTAAGGGTATAATAATTACATAAATGATTTCTAAATCATACAAATTTATTATTCTAAATAAGCATTACTAAAAGCCAGATGATTTTGTCTTTAAAAATCATTTGCTATGTAGTGACCTTTAATTTGGAGTAGAAACAGGTGGAGTGACTTTATCGCATCAGACATGTGTCACTTTGCTCACAGCTGATTGGTCCAAGTTCGTTTTGCAACCTCTTACCTGGAACATAACCTGCCCCGGACCAGGTTAGCCGTGGAGCGTAAGTTACTATGGCGATGAACACTGCTAAAAGCCAAACCAATTTCATGGTGCCTAAAACTCAGTGTTGGCGCAAACTAAACTGAAACATGCCTGGCTAGCCACCTAAACCGGCTTCATGGTTTAGGCCCCAGATGTGTAACTAAATGAACAACCTAAGAATGGCACAGGCAAAACAGGAACAGGAAAAAAGAAACCAAAACACAATGACACTATAACTAAACATAACACTGACAATATTGGGGTCAGTACGGTTTTTTTTATCTTTGAATCTTACAAAAAGTATCTTATGCTGCTGTTATACTGTAAAAACACTAATATTGTGAAATATTACCATTTAAAATAACAGTTGTCCATTTTATCAGGCTTCTGATTAATAGAAAGTAAAAAAAAAATAGAAATTGTTTGAAAAAGAAATTAAATATTATATTAAAAATCTAAAATTGGTAACACTATAAGTATACAGTAATAAAGTATTCACATTAATAATTTATATATTGTAGTCTCTATATTGTTATTATATTATAGGCTTAATACTAATAGTGAGTTCTTCATTCATTGTCACTGTATAATTAACCAAATTATTATTGTTAAATAGCTCATATGTAAAGAGTTAGATAATGTTTTTTTATGCTTTGTTACAACGTATTAACTGTAAATAGTTCTCACTTTAGATTGGTTCACGGAAAATGTCATTAATGAAGTCCTTTAAACCAACATTTATTAGACATAAATTGCATCAGTATTAAGTGTTCCTTGAATACGTGTGTATGTGTTCGCGTGTGTGTGTGTGTGTGGGATTAGTGAAAGGGGATATACAATTAGTACTGAATAAAAACCACTACGAGAGTCCCTTAAACCACATATTTGTATTTGTAAATACAAATACAATAATAATACAAATTGTATTTGTAAACATTTTAAGGAAAACTGAATATAAATGTCATTTATGTCCAATAAAGTTTGGTTTAAAGCACTTAAATAATACCATTTTCTGTGATCTAATCCAAATTGAGAACTATTTACTCCTACTAACCAATTAACAATTCCTTTACAAGCTAATGAAACAATAATAATTGTGTTAATTACAGTGACAATGAATGAAGAACTGACTATTGTAGCCTATTAACAATGTAGAGGTTACAATATATAAACTAGGCTATATGAATAAACTATAAACTAATAGTTTGTTAATGATTTGTAAGAACTTTATTACTGTATACTTATTACAAAGTGTTAAACACATTAGATCATTTCAACGTTAGATCACGTTAGATCATTTAAATGCATCCTTCACCAGTTAAATGCACAAATTAACCATTACACATTTGAATGCCTGTGAGCATCTCAATATATATATTTCAAATATTAATAGATAGATCTGGTGGTGAAAATGCTATTATTAGACCATTTGACATGTCAAATACATACACCGACATAAATACTAACATACTGTGTGTGCTGCAAATTGTGATATGGTCTGATGCCTGTTATTTTTCTTGTAGGATCATCACCTACATCTGAAATATGAGAAACTGTTTCAAATAGGTACAAACTGAACAGATTCAGCGGAGATTGAAAACTGATTGATTTTTATGTTATTAAAATGTTCTTAAATATGTCCTGTTTGGCAGGGTTTTTTTTTTTTTTTTTTTTAAATCTCCTCCAACAGATGTAGGCTACGTTCTGTTGAAGCAGTCATGTGTGGATCATTCAGAGAAAAGACAAGCTGTTGTTCCAGTGGTTTTCAATCCATCAATTGTTCTGTAGAACACTGACCTTGAAAAGCAGAACATCAGTGGTGGCCCTTACATGGATCCGGTTCTATCTAAGCCTCTCGCAGACTGAATGCCATGGCCACTGGGCTTTTAGGGATTTGTGCCACCTCCACAAAAGCAAATGCAGTAGTATGATAAGACATGGCTGCTCTCAATAGACGTGGGCGTCATGTCTGACAGGAGGGTATAAGTGTCCATGTGAATGGAGGTGAATTGATTTTGTCTCAGCGAAACTCCAGCAGGTAAGATTGACATGAACTTTATGAGTGTAGTTTGACCTCTGTTTGAATGTGTTTGTTAGTTGCTTTGCCCAAACCAAATCTATATAGACACATTTATTTATCCTTGTTAGTCATGTATCAACTTTTTGTTTAAGTTTTTGTTTGTGTTTTCCTGTGCTCTGGGTTAGCTTATACTCTTTCAATTGTGATTTTCTTGTGGAAAAAAAGATCATTTATTAAGCAGTAGGCCCAAATCACACTATAACCCCAAGATTGACTCAACATCAGTGCTAATACTCTATCCCCTGTAGTACCTGTATTTGATCAGCCGCACTCTTTCGCATTGATTCCCAGATGAGGATGCGCTTCGTTGTTATGGTGATGCTGTTGCCAGCGCTAATGAGGGCAGGATCAGAATGCAGGTCCAGCTGTCGGCTTTCCAATATCTCCATTAACGTGGAAAGTGAGGAATGTGGCAGCTGCATCACAATCGACACCACTGCCTGTGCCGGGCTTTGCAAAACACAGGTAGGATGAAGTAATATTCTTGTAACCTTTGATTTGAGATGTATGTGTGCACATTAGACATATATCTGTGATAGTTTTAATATTTTTCAAGCCTCAAATTTATTCCTGTGATGGCAAAGTTGAATTTTCAGCATCATTACTCCAGTCTTCAAATTCACATGATCCTTCAGAAATTATTAGAATATGCTGATTTGGTGCTCAATTATTATTTATGAATGATGGTTCTTATCATCAATGCATTGCTGCATAATATTTTTGTGGAAACGTGCTACTTTTTTCTAATTTCTTAGATGAATAGAAAGTTCACAAAACAGCATTTATTTGAAATAGAAATCTTTTGTAACATTATAAATGTCTTTATTGTCACTCACTTATGATCAATTGAATGTGTCCTTGCTGAATATATATATATATATGTATGTATGTGTGTGTATAAATTATATATGTATGAAACAGCGTAGTTTAAGTGCAGACATTTTGTTGTTGTTTGTTTCAGTTATAATACACTAGCATCAGATAAAAGGGGAACTAAAATATTTTCCATTTTGACAGGAAAGAGTTTACCGTAGCCCCATGATACAGTACTACCAGAACATCTGTAACTTCAGAGAATGGACCTACGAGACCTACGAGTTTAAAGGCTGTCCTGCCGGGGCTGACTCGGTTTTCACTTACCCTGTGGCCCTCAGCTGTGACTGCAGCAAATGTAACTCTGACGTCACAGACTGTGGAGTTCTCAGCCAGCAGACGTCCAGGTGCACTGCACATTAGACAAGGAAACCAAACCATTTGAAAGCCTGTTGTACAAGTTTGAATATTCAGTTTTTCATAATCAAATGTAAATTGCATAATGGATAAAACAAAAATTAAACATTTCTGTATTGCTTGTATCAATAAACATATCATACTGCAATAACCCATACACATAAAAAAAAATATTTTGGCTTCCAACAGGTCATCTGTGAGATGTTGATTCATCCTGTTGTTTTTCTGGAATCCTCTGTAGGCCCTGGTGTCAATAATCTCAGTCAGGCACAAACTGCACCATTAAAACAGCTTACACATAGCATAAACAGAACTCATTTCCTGTGATAAACCATCTGTTCCCAAGTGCTTATACACACAGACACGTTCATTTTGCTTGTGAAATTGCTGCGTTTTTACCAGAGCTTATAATTGTTCTTCTGAGACCAACTGTAATAATTTCTCTCTGTGAGGATGCTCTCTAATACACTGAGCAAACTCACTGAAACCATACTCGATTTACATAATCATATTAGTAATGAATCAATATGAATATCAAAGAGTTTTCAGAAAAGGGGCAATCTCTTATACATATAAAAAGAGAAATTAGTTATGGCACATCACAGAGCACATTTAATACTCATGTGTCGTAATAAAAGGATCAGATGATAGAATCAAGAGCCAGTACATTATAACAGACGCACTTGAAGGTGTCATCTACAAATGAAAACATGCATAACTTACAGTTGCTTAGGAGTAAAAACTTCACAAGGTAAAAAAAAAAACTCACATTATATATTGTGATTGATATATATATATATATATATATATATAATGAAATTGTTAATCAGGATTTTGATCAATTGATTTAAAACTGGCAGAAAAGACGCCTTAATGACAAAAAAGGTTTACTATAGCCTTACATTGTAAGAGTTGTAATAATTTTAAAAAGCTGTATCAATGCTGTGCAGCTTCACCTTTAAAATTGCATTGCCAGTTATTTGCACTGGAAAAAAGCTTCATGCAGGCTGTTTTACTTAGACAAACTGCCTGTCTGCCTGAATGTTTTGGAAATCATCAAATCTGCCTCATTCGAATTCTTTTGCAATACATTATCCCTGTTCCAGTCAACTTTCTTGCTGTTTGTACGTGTTATTGTTGTGCAGCTACAGGGGAAACTGGGCCTATAACATATTGTTCTTCATCTTGAGGTTCCTGGCTCCTAGCACTCCAATGTGAGGTGGAGTGCCCTGAATGTGCACGATGAGACATATGGGCCAATTAGAAAAACATCTTAGACAATATCTAATAGATGATATCACCACTCAACTGCCCTGAGGTAATAACCAACAGCGTTTTCAGATGTCATCATATATCATCATCTAAAGATGTATTAACACATATATATATATATATATATATATATATATATATACACATAAAATTTATAATAAAATAAAACCAGTATACAGATTATGCTTGGTATTTTACATAAGTTATAGTGATTTAGTCTAAATTTGGAGTAGATACATCTATCCATATATTCTTATCATTTGAAAAAGGCTAAAAGATCATCATTGTAAAATCTTGCACTATAACAAACATTTGCACTAAAGCACTCAGCTTTTATTTTTGTAAATGTAAAAGAAAATTTCAAGGGAAAAAAACAGCCACAGCATTACAGCATAACCAAAGAACTGGAAATTAAAGAAATTTACATTTGTGATGGTATGGAAAAAAGCAAAAATATAAGATAACATTCTATATTAAACTTTTACATTTAAAAACAATAAAAAATGCACTGAATTAAGCAAGTACTTCTGCAATGTCCATATACAAAGCCAGTGTCAGTCCCTTTACGCTCAGAGGCAGAAGTGATGTCGTCTTCTCTATCTTCCAACAGGTTATCTAATTGGCAAACTTGTTGCGAATAATCTCTCCCCCTTCTACCTCCACCTGCTCGTACAACCATTTCCGGTCACAGCGGCACTCCACACCGCACTTCCGAGAGCCGCACTCGGGACATGGGTAGAAGCAACCCATGCAGTCTACATCCAGACAGTCACACAGATCCCTCCCACATGAGATCAGCAAGCCTTTGTTGTCATACACTTTACTCTTGAGAGACAGGGACTGTCTGTAGGGACAAGAAAGACAGCATATAAATGGGATAATTCGTCCCACAGAAAAAAAAAAGGTACAAAAGCTGTCACTGGGGAAGTACCTTTTCAAACGTTACAACTTTATACCTTATTAACCCCTAAAAGGTACATATTTAGTACCATTTGAAAGGGTACTGCCACAGTGACAGCTTTTGTCAGCTCAAGATGCACATTAGTTGTTTTTTTTCCAAGGCACATTTATAAAAGCTAACTGAACTAAGGCTTAATCTAAGCCCTGTGTGTGCAACCAGGCCTAAGGCCCCATATAAAAGACTTTGAATACAACGGCAATCCATTTAACTCAAAACATGATTTATACATAAATCTTCATGATGACTGATTTAATTTGGTGTTCATGATTTTGAAAAATTAGAAAGTAGTGCTGCCCCGACTAAAGATTCTTCTTGTCAACAAGTTGTCACGCCATAAGTCGACGGTGGCATTAGAAAATGTTTCAGGGCTGAGAAAGAATATTATTATGTGTAACATTGTTAACCTTGTTTTACATTACAGAGAAACACTAAACCATAATAATGAGCCTTTAATATGAATTAAGCACTCAAGTGCACACATAAAGCTTGCTGCAGTGCACTGGCAAAATTAATGATTGTGAATGTGTCGAAAAAAACAGATGGTCTCTGAAAAGTGTGTGAACATTTTAATAATTTATTAATAAACTAGTGTTTGGGTCAATGTCAGCTGCGAAGATGAAGTTGACGACCCTGACTTATCTCCGCAGTATAGTGGATGGATCTATAGAGAAAAATGCATGTTAACCCTTTGATGCGCAAGCTATGGATACCCCCTCTAATGCACAACATGGGTCTAAAAAGACCCGTATTCATTTCCTATGTTATTTCATGCATGGCTCTGCATTTTCTTTTTTTTTACCTTTTGAAATCACTTTATTTGAGCATTTTATATTTCATGATCTATAAATTTCATGATTTATGAATATTAAAAATATCTTGTTTTCAATTATCACAAATTCATATTTTAATATTAGGTTTTGTGTAAATACATCAAGTTTACACACATGGGTCTAAAATGACCCATCTATGCAAGCGTGATAAAACAAAAGAATAAAGAAAACTTTTTGTTAAAATAACCATTGTCACAGTTGTTTAGATCAACACATTTACTGTAACACTTGAAATATGTTTATTGGCCACTTTGTCACGCATAACACACATATAACCGATAACACTGAAATTGAACTGTAGTGTAGTGCAACTGTAGGCGGATCTCCCCGCCACCAATGATCTCCCCACCACCAATGTGCAGCATCCACCCGGATGATGCGACAGCAGCCATAGTGCACCACACGACGGCTTATGTGACCGATAGCATTGATTTATGACCATTTATAAAAATTAATATGGAGGTACTGCCCAGGTAAGGTTTCTGCCCAACAGCGCCAATATATACTTGTATATATAACTTTCTATTGCAACTTTTATTTTGTTGACCTATAGCTAACATTGGATAAAATAAAATATGTCGACCGCAAGCTAGCTACCGGTAATAGTATTGGACATGTTTCTCTTTTGCACTAGTAATGGATTTCAAGGTCAAGGTAACCTTAGCCTAAACGTTCAAATTTTAGGCTATATCTAGATGTCTTTCACAAAATATCAAATATTTTCTGTGACAAAAAATGTATTAAATAAAACTTACATGCATGAAATATACAAAAGCAGCCGTGTTGAATTGTGAAATGTGTGGCAGGTGAATAGTTTTCTGCAGTAAATATATTTATACTATTTATAAATATCAAAGGTTCCTATATGGGTCATTTTTGACCCATGTGTGTAAAATTGATGTAGAAATACAAAAACCGTGTTTGTTTATAAAGTAAGAAAAGAAAAAGAAAAATAATGATTTGTGGAAATCAAAAACAAGATATTTAATGAATACCTGGATTAATAAATGATAAAATACATTTCTTTCAAATATTCAGCAAAGAAACATGAATACGGGTCTTTTTAGACCCATGTTGCGCATTAGAAGGGTAGTGAAACAAAAACGATTTTTATTCGAAAAGTAAGAAAGGGAAAAATTAAATAAGGATTTGTAATGATCTAAAACGAGTTAATTGAGGAATACCTGGAATACTGAATGATGAAATTAATTTCTTGCAAAGATATAGAAAATGAAAACTCAGTCGGGTCTATTTAGACCCATGTTGTGCATCAAAGGGTTAAGTAAAACATTTCATTTTCAGTGAGAGCGGTACTAAATTATCTTTCACACTCCGCACGAACATTTGGATATGCGCCTAATAATAACGCACATTTATCGAGGTTAACCTTAGAGAGAACTTTTTTCCAGCGACTAACCGACTAATTAAAATTTGGTTGTCTAATCCTCTTCTTAGCGACTAGCGTTTATTCGCCTATTTGGGGGCTGCCCTAAAAGAAAGGCAGATACCTGTCACTTGATGAGAGCTTTATCCCAGCACGTCTCCGGTCATTTATACCTCTGCCCTGTAATAAAACAAACAAAAAAAATTGATAAAGGTAAAAGTATGCAGCTGGACTGTAGCTGTGAGACATATTAATGACCTGCAGAGAAGCTAAAAACAGACTAAAGCAAGTGTTAGCAATTGCATATTCAGCAGTGTATGCGTTACCTTCAGGCTGGAGTCTCTTATGGGTTGTCTTCTGTCCTTTGTGATTTGTTTGGCTCTGTCTTTATCAGAAAGTGAACTGAATCGACTGGAATCATTTACATCCTTTGCCACTAATCCTCCCCTGTTTTTCCGTAACTCAATCTGTAAACAATAAATAAAACAGTGAGAGGGATTGCATTTCAAGAATCAAAAGCAGACAGAAAGATATATTTGAGTTGGACAACAATAATAACTTTACTGAGTGTTAGGATACACACCTTTGTACCATCTCCTCCAGAGTTGAAAATAGTCGGCACAGCATCCTCTCTAAGAAACAGTTTTCCATTATAATCACGGAAGCAGTCAGGCTGAAAATGCTCCGAGCACAAACAGGAGTTTTGAGTGGGAACAAAGTTCTTTCTCCCGAGGCTTCGAACCCATTGCTCGGCCAGCTGAGGCTTGCTGATTGGAAACCTGATTAGAAAGACAGCAAAGAAGGCTCCATTAGTTATTGTTACTTTCAAGAGAGTTTTATCCACACGTCTGTTGTATTCTGAAGTCAGCCACTTGTGCAAATCAATTAGATTTAAATGAGGCCGACTCACATAGTAAACTCTGACCAATAATATCTGTTTTTACAAGTTAAATTCTGTTGTGACAACAGAACACAAGCATTCAATTATAACAGTTAATTATGCTGTGGGGTCCATATCTGCGGCCATGACTAACTGACAAATAAACTAAACAAAAAAAAGGTGCACAAAACACACCATAATAATCAAGAGGGGGAAATACTGCGTTGCCTCTTGTTTATACAACAAAAAGTATTAAAGAAAAAAGTATTTTGCATTTACGACAAGATGTTAAATAGGAAACCTATCCGCCGTAACAGAATCTTATTGAGCTAAGTTATATCATAGCAACTCGTGCAGACGTAGGCTACGTAACGTTAGCCTAAACACTGAAGCCAAACACAAAGCTCAAGTGTGTCAACAAAACTGCCATTATGGTCACGCTCACCTATAGAACCGGATCTCTGACCCTTTAACAAACCGGTTTGAGCAATCAATAGCTGAACAGGAGATCGGCATGGTTCTGTATTCGTGATAAAAATGTAGAAGCCTGTTATTGCTCCACACAAACCAAAATCATTTTCACATGGAGTGAGCGGTAAAACGCGTATCTCACCTCCTGCGCATGCGCAGTTATTTGTTTAGCGGCCACTGGGCGGCCAAACAGAGATCCATGCAGCGCCTTAGAAGATCATACAGTATTTCCCAAGTGATTAGATATGCCTTTACGCCAGTATTTTATATTTGATAATCTCAAAGGTTTTTCGTACACTTGCTTTAAAAATAAACAAATTTAAAGACAAAAATAAGTAAACCTATAATTTGTAAACTTTTATTTTGAAATAAGTCGCACCCGGAAGTTTAACAAAAATTGTCCACGGTGTTTTTAGATTTTTAGTAGCCACATGGCTCCTGATCAGTAGTGGAAGAGCCATAAAGGGTTTCTGAATGGATCACTTCGAGAAGGATTTAGTTGATGCGCTTAAAGACATTGTCAAGGCTGGAAACTGGCAGTGTGTGGGAGACAAATCTAAATTTAAGTCACCATGCACGAAGTAAGCGCATGTCATTGTATAATATGCTCACACAAATATATGATGCTCGTGAACTGTCACAAGAGGGCATTCTGTATAACAGATAACGTTTCGGAAGGGCGTTTTTTAAAAAGTGAATCTATGTTACGTGACAAATGAATATGTTTTGAATAACTGTTTAGTAAAAATAACTCACAAGGGGAAAAGGTGTCTTAAATTAGAAAAAGGCAATGGTGTCCAAAAGAGACCACATGCATGTATTTAAAAAAAGTAAAATATGTGGATATTTATGTTCTACCTGAGTACAATATTTCTTATATACACTTTTTCTATTTTTTGAAAATGTTATAAAAATATTTTTAAGGTTTTACTCAGATGATGGAGAGCATATAGTCCTGGTTCATACAGAGCATGATCAATTCTGGGCTATGGATTCATCTTGCCCACATGAAGGTTAGTTATGACTCTAAAGAACTCCAGTGCATTATGCATTGGTCAAGACAAGTGTTTTTTTATTTGTTTAGACAGACTGGTTTTGGTTTTAGATTCAGTTTTGTGTCAATTGCAACTACATTACTTTTATGTTTTTGACAAATTCCATATGAGTATATGGTTCTTCTTGAATATCAGTTTCTTTTGTGCCCTCTCATACAAAACAATGTTACGCAAAACTTGATATTGTTGACTGGTGTCTCTGTTCCGTTCTCACCTCTTGGCCTTCTTGTGGCTTCCCTCAAATGCCTTTGTCTACACAGAAAGTTTTTAGAGAATTTTTCTAGATGGTTGTTTTATGTAACTTCCACTTTCTAGTTGAACAATTGGTGCCCACAAAGGTCCATAAAAAGTTACAAATTAATTATGAATCCCTGTGAAAATATCACAGATATCTGTAATACAGTAAATTGAGAGAATTGTTCTACTGTATATCATGATCTCTTGCTCAACAGGGGGGCCACTTGAGCAAGGTGATATTGAGGATCTGGGCAATGGGAAACTGGCATTGATTTGCCCATGGCATTATTTTGATTTCAGCCTTGAAACTGGTTCCTCTTCCTCTGGACTACAGGCAAGTTGTTATGATGGGCCATGTTAAAGAGATATTTCGTAAAATGAAAATTCTGTCTTGATTTACTCTGACAGTCATACCCTGATGTCATTCCAAACCTGTATGACTTTCTTTCGTGAGACATAAAACAAGATATTTTGGAAATGGTTGTTGTTTTTGTCTTTGCCCATACAATGGAAGTCAAATGTCACAAATTATTTGGTTACCAACATTCTTCAAAATATATTCTTTTGTGTTCTGCAGAAGAAAGAAAGGCATACAGGTTTGGAACAACATCAGGGTGAGTAAATCATGACAGAATTTTCATTTGTGGATAGAATATATCCATATAATGTGTATAGTGATAAACCTGCAAGTGTTCTTGATACGTCTCATATTATTGTAACCAGAACCAGGTGTATGATGTCCGAGTACTGGATGGAAAAGTGTATATAAATACTCAGAGCACACTGTCCCTCTGTCCCATCCCAGTGACAAAGATAACCGGCAAAGGTGAGGAATGGCAGAACTTGTATATATTAATTGTGAATATGAAATGTTGTAGTACACAAAACATGCTGTATTCCTTGCAGATAGTTTGCCCATGGAATTAAACTCCTCAGAAAACACTCTTTGCGCGTGGGCCACCAAAATTCTTCACACCCCAGACCCACAGGAAAAGGTTTGGAAATGTCCTTTAACAAATAGTGATTGACTAAACTGTATCCCTCATCACAGTGCTGTATTTAATTGCGCAACAGAGATCATCACATGACTTCTGCTTGTTTGTTTTTCTGTGACATGTAGGTTTCATTGACCAAGATGGTGCAAGAGAACTGGAACAGCGGGAAAATAACAGAAACTGGAGAGGCCAGCCCCCCTGCGCATCCCTACAGAAAAGACAATCTGACTGTTGTGGAGCCTGGAAAAATTAAACGAGGCAAAGGCGGCACACTGGTAAACTTTATTCCTTTTAGACTCTATTTTTTATTCAACAGAAAGTTGATTGAAGAATAATGGTTTGTGTTCCATCAGGCGAGTAGGATTGCCTTATTGCACTCACTTGCTAACATAGAGCAGTGGGCAATAGACCTGTCCTGGGATGTGATAGCAAGATTCTCCACATTTAGACTGAGCACTGGAGAGCCATTACCTCGCCAGTTCTTTGATGACTTTGTCAAAGTAGCAGGAGATGAAGCCAAGGTTTGAATGTTGACGTCTTTAATTTATTTAGGCAAAATTCTAACTAAGTAATTCACATTAATCTGACATAACCTTCTCCTGCAGCATTATCAGTTACTAGAGCAAAGGATTATGGAACTTGGCAGCTTCTTTGGTGCTTTACCAGTACACAATGGTCCGTGTTTTCATGTGTTTGTCTTTTTTACTTATTTCACTTAGCATAGGTGATGTTAGAGATTCAAAATCTATCACTTTTCTTTTCAAAAAGGTTTATGGCAGTCAGCAACCGATACATCTCATGACATTTTGGCAAGGCTAGCTATAGTGCACATGGTCCATGAGGCAAGGTAAAACACATCTCATGTCTGTTAGCATCTGTTATTTTCACATACATATGTACTGTCTCACATACGTATGTACTTATTTTCATTGTTTTTACACAGAGGTTTAGATGTGCACCCTCAGACTCTGTCCCGCTTCGCCTCTCATGGAGACACAAGCTCAGTGAAGGTGTTGGAGGTGATTTATGCTGATGAGATCACACATGTGGCTGCAGGGCTGAGATGGTTCACATACATCTGCTCACATGAAGGATGGGTAAGAACAGCTCAGATTTCTTATTTTAACCATGTAACAGTACAATTAAAATGGTTGGTGAAATTTGCCTGTAAATGACCGTGTGAGAGTGAATGATTTGATCTTAACATCATATTCATCATATTTTTAAAACACACCCTTACTGATGCAGATGATGCTTTTGAGATATACAGCTGTTCACTCATGACAACTAGTCTGGGGATAGTTTGTAAAACATTTTTATTAATGTAAATAGAATGTACACAGATTTGGTATTGGCGGATTAGATCTGCTACACTGCTGCCGCTAGAGAGAGGGAGAAGGATAATCCATAGCAGATCTCGGCAGGTGGTGCTGGGGAAGGCAGAGGGCTAGAATGAGAATTTGCATAGTGCACAGAGATTATATAGGGAAACTGTGATGTATACGTGAAATAGATTGGCTGGGAACATTACATTAAATGAACCAATCGGAACGTGGCGATAGTTTCATGGCTGAACTATTCAACTGTTTGAGCAAAGTCTGCGTCTGCTCCCAAATGATGCAGTATACACTATGTGAAGTGTATTAGCTTTAGAATTTAGCATTTAGCATTGGAGTCTGATAGCCCCTCCCCCTCTGCTACGTAATTAGAGCTGCAACAGTTCAGTGCATGAAGTGTCCAACATTCCACACTTGTTTTTTCGGTTAATTAAGTGCATCATCTAGTCTTTCTATTTGTAATTTTCAGTGTGTGAACACAACTCGCACTATTTATACAACAAAACATTAAATAATGCACAAGTGCACAAATTGGGATGCACCTTGTGTCTTTATCCTAGCTTGAGAGCTGCTTTTTCATATTTCAGGATTCCTTGAAAACATTCCATGAATTGGTGAAGCTGCATTTCAAAGGGTTTTTGAAGCCTCCGTTCAACACAGAAGGAAGGAAGACAGCAGGAATGACAGAAGAGGTATACGTACCATTGTTGAATTTCTGAAGAGTGATCATCCTTTTTTTACTGTGTAACTTAAAGACAATTCTAAGCTTTGATGATGTCGTTTTATATTCTGCAAGTTTTTGTGATGATCCCCCTCTTTACCTACAGTGGTATGTTCCTCTTGTGAAACCCTCCAGCTTACAGAAGACCTCCTGATTGGACTTATTTTTATTCAGAAAGATAAGCTGCTTTGCATCCTGAAAAAAGGGACTCTGAATGGAGAGTGTGCTTGCATGATTCAGATGCAGCCCAAGGGTAAAAAAAATCATAGAATGGATATGTGAATCCAGGAATATTTGCATGAATTTTTTCCACAGTAACCACTGTTTATAGGTTTCTTTAATTATTTTGTAAGAAATTAAATTTAATCGATGACCTTTAATTTGATGGGTTTCATTTACATATATTATTTGACAAATAATCTTAAATATTGTTTTTAGCAGTTCAGTGGTCTTACTGAAGGGGGCGCTGAGAGGTTGTTTTGCTCTCAGTTGAGGTTTTGGTGTAAGTGTTGTATTTAACTGGTGGTTCTGAGTAGTTTCTCATCTATTGAAGATACAGGTGAAACTCGAAAAATTAGAATATCATGCAACAGTTCATGTATTTCAGTAATTCAAATTAAAAGGTGAAACTAATATATGTAGTATATATAACTATATACATGATTATACTTTTCAGAGAGCCGACATTTCTGTATTTAAAATCCTTTTTTTTTATTGATTTCATGTAATATTCAAATTTTCTGTGATTTTGAATTTGAGGTTTTCATAAGCTGTAAGCCATAATCATCAAAATGATAA